ATGATGTATTCATTTAAACAAATATTGTTGTTTTGTTAAAGGTACATGTTGGATTGTAATAAGTATGATTAATTGTTTTTTATATTGTAGGTAGTAAGTAAAATATCTTCATATCGATATCTTTCTGCCAGAGTAATGTAAGCGACATTTGTTTAAATGGCCCTTACGATAGTCTGGCAAAGAGGTATATGTTTTATTATAAATGTGGAATAAATCTGTACAATTTTTGTAACACAATTTACTGTACCTACATAGTAATTCCGAGTACCTAAACAAAGGCAAGTCTAGCATACACCTACCAACATTATGTGTCAAATGCGGATAAAATGTTATAAAGTAATCGAAGCCAGCCATTTCATTTTATTTAAAAATGGAGTACCTACTCTGTTAATAAGTTAAGAACGTTAATAAGTAGTATCCAATTATAATTAGAAGAACACCGCTACATCATAATTATTACTTTAAATTTCGAATACATATTATCTATAACTAGAGCTAGGAATATATGCAAAACGCCACATTTTGCATATGTTGCATATATACAGTGAGCATTTTAAGTCTTACCCCCCCTAACTAACTCGTTACTGGGGTCTTGTTAGGAAAATCGCCGAGACAGGTCGATTTTTAATTTCTACAATGTACATTTTTGCATGATTAGTTAACCCTTAATTTCATCCCTTACTGGAGGGTAAAAACCCTTTCGAAAAATTTAAAAGGCATGGGGTGGTGAGTGATAGCTCATTTGAAAGGGGGTTTTATTCTCTATTCAACCTTGCAAAAAAAAATTAAAATTTGCATCATTACATGTTGATTTATTAATGTTTAAAAATAATAAAACCTCACAAAATAGGAAAGCAACTAGACTAACAGTGACCTTCTAATGGCAAAAAGTCTTACTTCACGTCTGAACCAAAACCGAAGTCATGCAGGGCCAAATTTTAATTCTAAGGATGAGTGTGCAACGTTAATTTCCGTTATTCTGAAACAACAATTAGTCGAGAATTAATGAAGCAAATTTTAAATTTTTTTACACGGTTGAATAGAGAATAAAACCCTCTTTTAAATGAGCTATCACTCACCACCCCATGCCATTTAAATTTTTCGAAAGGGTTGCTCCCCTCCAGTAAGGGATGAAATTAAGGGTAAACTATTCATACAAAAATGTACATTGTAGAAATCAAAAATCGACCTGTCTCGGCGATTTTCCTAACAAGACTCCAGTAACGAGTTAGATAGGGGGGTAAGACTTATGGTGCTCACTGTATACAATTTTTGATTTTGAATGCATATATTGACATTTCGTTAATTTTTTAGCATATATCTGACGTACTAATTGGCTGGACATATTAAAAATATGAGTGTTGGACCAAAATATTATTTTGTGAAATGCCTTTACAGGTTGATTTCCTAAAATTTTGAAGGATTAACTTTTCCCTATAATAAATTACGGTTAATGGTGTAGATACTTGAGAGGATTAAATTATAAACACCCTCCTTAAACCAACAAATTTTGCTAAATATCCTTTCAAGTAGTTTTATTAATATCTTCAAATTTCTAAATGACTCAGTTTACTTTCAACTTCATTTCCGTCTTTATTGTTGTGTTGTGTTAACCAGTGGGAAAAATGGCAAAATTAATTGAGTCGTGGGATAACCAGGTGTTTTGTAAAACATATTCTAAAATTGTAAGTACTTTTTTATTTTATATTTTATTTTGACCTTTCACAATGGCAAATCAAACGACAATAAAATATTATTTCAACTCACAGTTAAAAAAAAAAGTAGGGCAACTTTACAACGTACGCATTTATTTAATTTAATTAAAACTTCAACATCTACAGGAATTTATTTGTTTTAGATTCCATGTAAAAAAAGTTTCAAATCGACCAACACGCGAAAACACCCTCACATATAGCAAAGCAGAAATCTAAAGACACTCGCAAACAAAGTCAACTTCCCTTGAAATAATATTTAGAACAAGCTATTTTTAATGAAGATTTATGCAAAGCTTTAGTGACTTCGAATATCCCTTTAATACGATTAAATAATCCAAATCTTCGATCATTTTTGCAAAAATACTGTAAATTTAATATTCCAGAGCAAAGTATATTACGCAAACGTGGTGTTGACAGTTTGTACATTGACACTCGTGAAAAAATTCGTGAGATTACCGTTGGAAACCATTTCTACATTATTGTGGATGAAACAACAGACTCTTGTGGTCGATATATAGCCCATTTAATGATAGGTTCATTACGCGAAGAAATTCAAATTGGTCCATATCTAATCGCTTCAAAGCGTGAAATTATTAGATTTTGGACAAAGTCGGAACATCTGGGGGGTACTTTATGGGAGGCCGTTTTTATATATTATGGAATATATCTGTTATTTATGTTTGGAGAAAAAAATTGTTCACATAAAAGTTACTTCTAATATTATTATCTATATTTTTTGCTTTATGTAAAAATTTCCTGAAATGGTCCGTATTCGTAAAATTTGACAAAATGTGCAAAATTCTGATTTTTATGAAAATTGTTGAAATAAAAGTTGTTTGCGATATCGATCTCTATAATATTTGTTCAAACATGATTTTTTTAAAATGGACCGTAATGGAAAAATTGTAGGAAAAGTACTAAATTTAAATTTTTCAGTATTTTCATTTTCAATGAATATCTATAGAAAAATGTTTCGCGGTAGATGTGGACAATGTATATATTTAGTTTATCCTCTAAACATTTATAGAGATGCTGCAATAGGTTGTACAAAATAACCGGAAAAAGCCTGTAATAACTAGATAGGAAAGTCATGTGTTGGACACATCAGATTTTTCTTCCGGAAGCCGTTCCAACAGAAAAATGTTTATTGCTGTTATCCGATGCTTCCCCGTACATGGTAAAAGCCGCACAAAATTTAAAAATGTTTTATGAAAACTTAATCCATGTTACATGTTTGGCTCATGGCCTTAATAGAGTTGCGGAAGAAATTAGGTCTAACTTTCCTTTAATAAATGATTTAATTAGTAATGTAAAAAAATATTTCTTGAACTCAATTGTACAAAGAAAAATTTCCTGTATTACAGATGCCACCGGAACCTGTGATTACTCGGTGGGGTACCTGGCTTAAAGCTGCCTTTTTTACGCAGATAATTATAAAAAAAATTAAAGAAATCATATTTAATTTTGATGATTCATCTAAGGGAATATCTAATACAAAGAAGTTGTTTCAAAATCACATATTACCAAAGCAATTAATGTTTTTAAAAAATTATGCATTTGTACCCAAAATTATATTAGATTTAGAACAAAAAAAATTACCTTTGGTGACTTCCGTAAATTTAATTAAGACTCAGAATCAGAGTGTAAAAATGTCCAGGGCGATATTGGAAAGACGATTTTTCATAAATTTTCAAATGTAATTTTAAAAAATGAAGGATTTATTGTTTTAAGAAACCTTGCTAATTATTCTGGTAACTTTGAAGGTATTAATACTATTCATCCAGATATTTCAGGAAAACCTAAGTTTGCACTTGTTACTTCTGTAGATGTCGAAAGGAGTTTTTCTTTATACAATTACATACTTACTGATAGCAAACAATTATTTAATACAGATAATTTAGAAAAACATTTAATTGTTCATTCGTTTTATAATAATGTTGATTTGTAAATAAAATTAGTTAATAATTAAATAATTATTAAGTATTATATTAGGTATTGTAAAATAAAAAAAATAATAAATATTAATAAACTATTTTGATCAAATAATAAATTACTCTTATTGCATATGCTCTGCATATTTTTCAATTTTTTACGCATATATTGAAGTATTTTGCGGCATATATATATGCGCATATTTAACTACTTTTTGGGTGCATATATTCCTAGGTCTATCTATTATTATTATTAGCTATACAACAATATTTCCCATAATAATAACGCTCCACTAAATCCGCAGTAAGCTGCGATAACCAATTAATTACTTTGCCAAATGATGACGTAGCTGTGTTCTTCTAATTGTAATCTGACCCTACATACTTATGTTTCGGCTGACAACACTTAGTTAAGCTTTTTGGTATTTATATAACAGTACCGCTACCACTTAACGTCTAATTGCCGGAGACAATAATAGGAAGCAACTGAATTAGTATCAGTGTTGCCAGAGAAACAAAGTAAAAAGTCGCTATCAATCAGTATGAAAAGTCACCACTTTGCAATGATTTTTTTTGGGATATTCGGATATACATCCTGTCATTTTATAAGACAACAATGTTTAGCCAGAATATTTCAAATAGACAACACCTATTTAACGGATTTAATTCGTAGAAATATCATTTCAAAATCTGTTGATTTTTTGTCGGCTTTCACTTCTGGAGTAATCTGTGTTATAAATATGTGAAAGTAGTTCTAATGCAGTCCTATTCTTCCCGATTATAATCTGTTCTTAAGATATAAATGACAGTATTGTTTTTTTATTAACGTTACTAATATTCATTTCAGTTAGACTTTGGTTGATTGTTTCTAGTTTTCTATTAAACTTGATTTAAAGACATCAATATTCAAACTTTACTGCAATTCGTTTCAAAATCAATAAATTTCATGTTTTTAAAAATATTTTTATAAAATGTTAAAAGGCAATATATCTTGTAATCAATCTATCGAATACATTTGGAAAAGTGATAAATGGCGTATTTCTTTTCAATCAATTTATTTGAATGCATTCCCTATTGATTTATTTCATATAAGATGCAGAAAGCAATTTTACCTAAAGTGACGGTGTTTTATGATATAAATCAGTGGTGGCGAACAATAGAAATGGGGGTTATAGAGATACTGACCGTTTGGAAGTTTATTGTAATATAATGTAATATACTGTAATATAATGAAATATAATGTAAAATATTGTAATATGAAATATATTGTAATGTAAAATATAATGTATTAGAAAATTTGTATAATTTTATTATGTTTAAGACAATAAATATTTGAGATAGTTGTAATACGTACACACTTTAAATAGGTTTTTCATTTCGTCTTAACCTCTTAACAAAATATTTGATGTTTCTAAATAATTGGCACCCATTTTACACCCCCTGTTTTTCCAATTAAAGTGACTGACATACGACCCGCGGGCTACTATTTAAAAAAGAAATTAAAATAATTAAGGCATCCTTTAAATATAGGGTGTTCCCTTTAAAAAAATAAAACTTAAATATAAATTCCTATTTTTAAGTCACCCTGTATATTCTAAATTATTTTTACTTTCCTATCTGTATACAGAAATAAGGAAAGTATAGGAATCATGATTTTTTTCGACCTCGAGTTTTCGACGGATTTTTACGTGTGTTTGTGTGTTTCTGTGTTTGTGTGTGTGTGTGTTTCTGTGTTTGTAAGTGTGTGTGTTTGTGTGTGTGTTTGTGTGTGTGTTTGTGTGTGTGTTGGTGTGTGTGTTGGTGTGTGTGTTTGTGTGTGTGTTTGTTTGTGTGTTTGTGTGTGTGTGTGTGTGTGTTTGTGTGTGTGTGTTTGTGTGTGTGTTTGTGTGAGTGTTTGTGCGTTTGTGCGTTTGTGTGTGTGTGTGTGTATGTGTGTGTGTCTGTGTCTGTGTGTCTGTGTGTCTGTGTGTCTGTGTGTATGTGTGTATGTGTGTATGCGTGTCTGCGTGTCTGCGTGTCTGCGTGTCTGCGTGTCTGCGTGTTTGCGAGTTTGCGTGTTTGCGTGTCTGCGTGTCTGCGTGTCTGCGTGTCTGCGTGTCTGCGTGTCTGCGTGTCTGCGTGTCTGCGTGTCTGCGTGTCTGCGTGTCTGCGTGTCTGCGTGTCTGCGTGTCTGCGTGTCTGCGTGTCTGCGTGTCTGCGTGTCTGCGTGTCTGCGTGTCTGCGTGTCTGCGTGTCTGCGTGTCTGCGTGTCTGCGTGTCTGCGTGTCTATGTGTCTGTGTGTCTGTGTGTCTGTGTGTCTGTGTGTCTGTGTGTCTGTGTGTCTGTGTGTCTGTGTGTCTGTGTGTCTGTGTGTCTGTGTGTCTGTGTGTCTGTGTGTCTGTGTGTCTGTGTGTCTGTGTGTCTGTGTGTCTGTGTGTCTGTGTGTCTGTGTGTCTGTGTGTCTGTGTGTCTGTGTGTCTGTGTGTCTGTGTGTATGTGTGTATGTGTGTATGTGTGTCTGTGTGTATGTGTGTATGTGTGTCTGTATGTCTGTGTGTCTGTGTGTCTGTGTGTCTGTGTGTCTGTGTGTCTGTGTGTCTGTGTGTCTGTGTGTCTGTGTGTCTGTGTGTCTGTGTGTCTGTGTGTCTGTGGGTCTGTGGGTCTGTGCGTCTGTGCGTCTGTGCGTCTGTGCGTCTGTGCGTCTGTGCGTCTGTGCGTCTGTGCGTCTGTGCGTCTGTGCGTCTGTGCGTCTGTGTGTCTGTGTATCTGTGTGTCTGTGTGTCTGTGTGTCTGTATGTATGTGTGTGTCTGTGTGTCGGTGTGTCTTTGTGTCTGTGCGTCTGTGCGTCTGTGTGTCTGTGTGTCTGTGTATCTGTGTGTCTGTGTGTCTGTGTGTCTGTGTGTCTGTATGTATGTGTGTCTGTGTGTCGGTGTGTCTTTGTGTCTGTGTGTCTGTATCCACCATAACTCTTGAAATTTTAAACTTAAACTTTATTTCATCGTCCAATGAAATGATTAGTTTTTGGGCAGAGTCGGAACATCTGGGGGGGTACTTTATAAGTGGTCATTTTTATATTTTATGGAATATATCTGTTATTTACGTTTGGAGAGAAAAATTCTTTAAATAAAAGTTACTTCTAATTTTATTATCTATAATTTTTGTTTATACAAAATTTTCCTAAAATGGTCCGTATTCGAGAAATTTGACAAAATGAAAAAAAATATATTTTTTAAAAAAAATGTTCAAATAAAAGTTGTTTGTATTATAATTCTTTATAATTTTTATACTATACATAATTTCTCTAAAATGGACCGTATTCGAGATATTTTAGGAAAATGTGTAAATTTCGAATTTTGAAGAAAACTCAAAAATGGATAAAGAAAAAAACATTAAATTTTAAACTTAAATTTTATTTCGGCCTGACGTAAAATGATAAGATTTTGGAAAAAGTCGGAACATCTGGGGGGGTACTTTATGGGAGGCCGTTTTTATATTTTATGGAATATGTCTGTTATTTATGTTTGGAGTAGAAAATTGTTTAAATAAAAGTTACTTCTAATATTATCTATAATTTTTGTTTTATGTCAAAATTTCCTGAAATGGTCCGTATTCGAGAAATTTGACAAAATGTGCAAAATTCTGATTTTTGTGAAAATTGTTGAACTAAAAGTTGTTTGCGATAATGGTCTCTATAATTTTTGTTCATATATGATTATTCTAAAATGGACCGTAATGGCAAAATTGGAGGAAGAGTGCTAAATTTAAATTATTCAGTATTTTCGTTTCCAATGAATATCTATAAAAAAATGTTTTGAGGTAGATGTGTGTGGAAAATGTATATATTTAGTTTATCCTCTAAATATTTATAGAGGTGCTGCAATAGGTTGTACAAAATAACCGTAAAAAGCCTATAATAACTAGATAGCAAAGTCATGTGTTGGACACATCAGATTTTTATAATTCTATTTATTGATAAGCAAAATAGATAATAGTAACTTTGAATACTGTTCATAGAATTACAATAAAATGTTGCTTAGTTAAATATTGAATATTTGTTAATGTTAAAATATAATAATTTATAAAGTTGACGGAAAAAGTTATAAAATACAGAGAGTTGCACAAAAATCTGCTTTTCTGATTTTTAAAGTAATTGCAAGCAGTTTAACACCCTGTATTACATAGTATAGCAAGTCATTTATTTATTATGATATTAAAAACTCAGTACATATCGTTTATACGGGGTGACTCGTTAAAGCCGGAAAAACAATATATGCCCTCTGTAACCAGATTTATGAGTCACCCTATATAAAATATGATGTATCATTAAAAAAAATTACTTAAGCTATATTTTATGGTACAATGATAACTGTTCAAATTATTAAAAAAAAAGTCTCATTTAAAAATTCTTTACTGATATCACTTATTTTAAATAAACCAATAATTTAAAAAATATACACCGAAAGAATTAAAGGGGTGATTCTGTGATAAAAATTAATGTGAGTGTTTGGTATAAAATTTTTTGAAAAAACCCTCTCCGGAAAAGTTACACACCTTCGAAAATTAAAAAAAAAAAGGTTTTTCTTTTTTATTTTCCCTGTATATCAAGCTAAAGACACGAAACTTGGTAAACATTATCTGTCAATAAAAGTACACTTTTTGAAATTTTTTCAACCCTGAAGTATGCTTAGAAGGGGTTGAAATAATCAACCCCCAAGATATTTTTTCTTACAACTTTTTTTAGAACTTTTTTCTTTAAAAAAGTATGACTAAAAAGCCCAATTCATTGACTAACTTTTTTATCTCTACAAGTTTTTTTCGAAAACTTAAGCATTTATGAGAAAAAAATAAATAATCTCATGTAAAATAGCATTTTATTAAACAACAGCCAACCAAATTATGATTCTTAAGACTTCTACAACTAAAAACAAAAGTGAACAAACAATGAACAAAAACCTGTCGAATATCGATAATACAATTATAATAAATGTTGAAAATGACCGCATTCAGCTTCAATACAAGCATCTACCCTTTTCCTCATAGAATTGCGTATACAATGAAATATTCCTGGAGAATTTCTTATAGTTTCACACCCTGCTACAATGCGGTTTCGCAGATCATCGATATTTTCAACTGGGTTTGTGTATATCAAAGATTTAAGATATCCCCATATGCAAAAATCCAAAGGATTAAGGTCAGGGGAGCGGGCTGGCCAGTTTATAGGTCCTCCTCGACCTATCCATTGATTGGCATACACCTCATCCAGGTGAGTTCTTGCACGTATACTAAAATGAGCTGGTGCACCATCGTGCATAAACCATAAATGTTGCCTAATTTGAATGGGAACCTCTTCAAGAAGAACAGGTGATTCTTCAAGGAGATGACAATATGCTTCACCATTTAATCGTAGCGGAAGAAAATGGGGACCAATTAAATGATTATCAATAATTCCGAGCCACACGTTTAATGAAAATTGATACTTCAAAAAGCCATGAGGATTTTCGTCAGCCCAAAGGTGATTGTTGTGAAAATTTCTAATACAGTCTCTTGAGAAACTCGCCTCGTCAGTAAATAAAATATTACCTAAGAACTGTGGTGCTTGGCCAATCATATTAATAAGCCACTGACAAAAAATCACACGGGGTAAAAAATCTCGAATCATTAACGCCTGCACCCGTTGAAGATGATAGGGATTCAACATTTGTTCTTTTAAAATTCTAAAAAACAACGGAAATGCAATATTTGGATAAAATTAAAATATTGATGCCAAGTTTGCGATGTTTTTAACTGTAGTAATGTTATTGCGTTTGCTTAAATTACTGTTAGGTCTTTGAATTGTCCAAAAAAAAAAATAATGTCTGACAACAGCGGAAGTAGAGTAGACCGCAATTGTGGAGGGTCGTATATTGTTTCATTCATAAAAATTCCTTCAATACAGTACTCGTCCAAGAGCCAGTGAATTTTTTCGTACTTGTTTTCCCGGTCCGTGTATATTTAAATAATCTATTCCCGGTGAACTGTATATTTAAAATAGAACGCCAATCTATTAACAAAGATTGAATTCGCGCATTACGTCACATCGATACAAGTGAGATTGTTTACAAAGTGCCTTTGCAGGCCTATTTTGCCCATTTCATGTATTTGTTTTTAAATCATGTTAAATTACTATTTTTGAAACTCAACAAGGAGAAAATACAATTAACTCTTCCGTTGTGTATATATATAAGATAAATTAACTGAAGTTTTATTAGTAAAGTATTAATACTAAAATTTTAATGTAATTTACAGAAAATAGCTAAGTATGTATTTGTTTTTAAATAATTTGATAATTTATGAAAAAAGGGAGTAAAAGTGGAATGACCAGTGGCCAGTAGGTCAGTCAATACAAAGTATCATAT